CAGGGTGCGTCGGCCGGGGCAGCTTGCGCGCAGGGCACCTTGCAGGGCATCCGGGCCTGGTAGGGTCACGGCGGCGGGCGCCCCACCGGAGCCCGGCACCGCGGGACTGAGCGCGAGAAAGGCTGGATCCAAGGGCCAGGCCCCCTCGTTAAAAAAAACAAAAACAAAACAGAACAAAACAAAACCACGTCTCGCTCAGAGAGCCCCGGAGCGCAGCTCGTACGAGGGGTCTCAGGGGCGCGGAGGACGCCCAGGACCCGCCGCGGAGACTGTCTCCGAGGCGGAAAGGCCGGCTGGGTGCCGGGGAGGGCGACGGCCCGGACCTGGCCCGGAGCGGAGCGCGGGAGGCTGGGAGTCCGCCTGCCGCTGCCTTCTCCCGGCGTGAGGAGGCTTCTCTCCCTCGGCCTTCCCGGGGCCTCCTCGAAGCGTTGGCGGAGAACCCGAGGACAAAAATAAAAATAAATTTTAAAAAGCATGAAGGAGAGAAAAGCGGGCGTCGTGGCTTGAGACATCCCCAGGCCCTACCGACCCTGCCCCTTGGCGGCCCGGAGCGCCGCACTCNGGGCGTGGAGCCCTCGCGAAAACCGGCGGAGCGAGATCAAAAGTTTGGGGGCTGAAGAAACCCGGGACCTGGTGGCCATGGAAGGTGTTACCGGGTCCTTTCTGTGTCGTATTCTGTATTCAGCACGTATAATATATATAACTGTATCCACACGCCGTGTACACACCCGCTGCCACACACTACAGGAGTCAATAAACAAGGTGCAATATTCCCAAACCGTCGGCCGGCTGCAGACTTTGTGGAGCCCCCCGGAGTGGGCCGGGGTGGGCCCGGCGAGCGAGGGAAAGCGGCACCCCTTGGGCGACCGCAGGCGCGCGCTGCCCCGCGCCAGTCCCCAGGCTGCGAGCCCGGGCTCCCAGGACTTTGTTCGTCGATTTCTTTTTACTCTAGTGGGGAGAATCGGGGCCTTTTGAGGTCCGGGGCTTTGTCATCCCCCCGCCCCCCATTTTTACCCAGATGCTTGGG